GGAAATGGGGTGAATCTCACCTCTCTGGATTACATTGCACATTTCATATGGTGACACGTGGGAAGTTCTTAAGAAAAGGGAGAGGTGATTTTGCACAAAGTATAACCCCCTTAATGACCTGGTGTGAGAGAAGCAGAGCTGTCAGGCTGGAGGCCACTTACCAGGGGAGTGTTGAGCACCACTCTGCAGATCTGGAAAAGTGCTTTCGTAAATGAGCTTGGCACTAATGTTACTTGAGAACTGGTGAATTTGCTGATGACAGAAAATATGAAGCAACCTCAGGAGAAAGGAGGCTTGAAATATTACATAGAGAAAGGTAGATTGCAGAAAGTGGTGATCAGAGGCACAAATGACCAAAGCCTTTCCTACAAGCTCCCTGGCAGCTCACGCTTTGATCACCAAGTGACTGACTTGTCAACAGTGGAAATAGGAAGTGAGAAATGCAATACTGGAAGGCAGCAGGAGAAGTGCAACCCAGGCTGCACTGAAGGCTGGGATGAGCTTGAGGAGAGGCTATCTCACTCCATTTTGCAAACCAAATACTGTGAGCATGAGGCTTTCTCCACATAAACACTCCCAGGAAGGGAAGAGAGAAGAGCTGAGGTGCTAAGGGCCAGTGCTGCTACAGAATAAATGATCAAAAGGAGGCATCAGACATTTTGATCAGAAGATCATTACCAACCATTTGACAATGTGTGGTTCTGGAGTGGCCTTCCCACTGCAGTCATGCATGCAAAATATTGAATTGCTTTGAGGATGGAACTTGGCAAGGTCATGATAAGGATTATATCACAGAGTGCCTTTGATAGGAGACTTGATAGCACAGAAGTTCCTGCCAGTCCTAAGCACAAAGGTAAATGTTCTGTAAGCCTCTGTCCATATAAATATAGAGCATGTGAGTATATACACACAAAAAGCAGGCACATGATTTATTAATCACAGGACCTCAGCTTGTCAAATAATAATTACAAGGCAATAACACACCTTGTTTTAATAAATGGCTCCCTAAGATTTTCTCCCACAGTAAACCAGTAAAAAGGGTCAATTATTCTGAGGTGGAGGTGGCATTTTGTGTTTCTGGTTGTTAGCTTTTAAATGAACTCACCGTCTGGAACTCTTAAATCAAGTACTCCCATTTTTCTGCACATTTCACAAGTTCAGCCCTTTCCAGTAAAGCGTCTTTTCAGATGCGTGGTTGCCCTTTGTTAAGGCAAGAATGAACAGATGACAGCGGCAGCGCGGAGGAGACGTGCCTGGAACAGTCGGACGGAGCGAAGCCGCTGCCGCCGCTGCCAGGAGGGCGCACTCGGAGCCCTGAGCAGGGCAGGCTTCTTGTGCAATGCGAGGGGCAAGTCCTGGGAAGCCACGAGAGAGACGGGAAGGCAGTGGTTGGAGAAAGGGTTTATGCAAAGCCATGGCAGTGGGTGACCCCTCGGTGTCCGTGCTCGGGCAAACGCAACGCGATCCCTTCTCCGAGGGCGCCCAGCCCCGACAGGCGCTGCGCACCCAGGGCTGCAGCACTGCCCCGCTCCCGGCTCCCGCATGGAGCTGCACCAGGGTGTTCAAATGAGCTCTAATTACTGAGCATTAAAAAAAGTGAAGGCGTGTTTCAGTACCCTTTCAACCTGGAGCTGACGCTGCCTGATGAAGAATGGGTGTGCTGTGTTTGCAGCTCATTCCATGAAGACACCTTAGCAGAAGATGCAAAATTAAAAGTAATCTGAAGGGAAGGAAAGCAGAAGGCCAAGAGACAGGCAACTGAACAGAGCAGATTGATTTAACAGATATGATACATTTTTGCTGTCTGCATTATGTGTGGAAATTCTTATTCCAAGTGACACAGTAACAGACTCGACTGTAATCAAACAGCACTGCTGAGGTGTCAGGAGCACAGATGCTGCCTATCGAAAATATTTAAAACAGAAAGTAAAACTTTGAAAAATCCGCAGTGGGGAGCGCAAGGGAAATGCTCGGTGGCGTTTCTAACCCCAGGCAACTTCTCTCTGCTTTTCACTGCTCTCTCTGGTGCGGGAGGTCGGGAGCCGTGCGTGAGGCAGCCCAGCGGCAGCTCGGGCAGAGCT